TCTTCGACCAAGGTATTTTAATCATTTTCAGTTGGGAATTTACAATGATACTCGAACTGTGAATTTAAATTAGGGATGTTTGTAAAACGCTATAAGCGGTTGTAATTCACATGTTCACAGAAACGGATTCGTAATAGTGCTGATTTGGAAGGTTGACAATTCCGTTTTCTTATCTCTTCGGAGGATATTTATATCAGTTTTTCAACTGTATATGAAAACGTCTTCTAATTATTAGGGTTCGATAATCGGAGGTGAGTTTTCAAGTAGTATTCCTTGTGTCATCACAGGACTACAATTTATCCCATGATACGAGGAATCCAACAATAATTTAATTTCAGGCGATTTTTTTTTAATAACTTGTGTATCACCCAGAAAACCCAATATAATTATACGAACAGTCATTTGGGGGCAAGGAAATGAGGAAATGTCACATGGGTTTTCATCCTCTTCCTTGATGGAATATGTTTAGGTGATTTGGTACATTTGATTCCAACAAAAGCGGTATACGCGACGGCAGGTGATTGAAAATATTCAATCACCTGCCAAACGACGTTGAATATATAGAAAGCCCTTCAGAATTTAGAAAAGCCATCAACGTTTCATTTTCTGATAGATAGGTATAGTTTGGACGCATTTTATGTTGATAACTCCTTGTGATGCACTGTTTGGAACCTTTGGTGCAGTAATGAGTATTACTTAGAGTTTTTCCCCAACACCAAACCGTTATTTCAACACCTCGACACGTGCTTCGATCACCAAGTGATCATCTTCAAGAGGAAGATTAAACTGGTTCAATCATCCTCTTCAAGATAATCACTTGGTGATCGAAACACGTGTCGAAGTGTTAAACTGGTTTGATCTTCCTCTTGAAGATGATTCCTTGGTGATCAAAACACGTGTCAAGGTGTTAAAATAATGGTTTGGTGTTGAAGAAAAAACTCCTGTAATAATCATGTTAACTTCTACTAACACTTACTCTGAAATTCATCGTACCCTAAGTTAATCTTAGTGTCGAATCAAATTATAAATTTCATTTAGCAACTGAAATAATTCACAGCATTTTTACGTTTTGTTTACGTTTTATTTTACGTTTTCGTATTTTTATTTCTTATTATCACATTTTACACATGTGGGCATTTTGGTAAACAACTTTTTTTAGCTAATTTTCTCATGTATATGTGTGGGTAAATAAGTTTTAAATTATATAGGCATAGTATATGCTTGTATACATTTTTATCTTATCCACACACGATTTGCCAATAAGATTCATGCTTCTGACATCCAAGCTTATTTAGTTTTATTATTATTTTATAAGCGTGGAGGTTTCTAATTTGAAAGTTTTTCACACAATTTTTGTTTGATGATGGTAAAATAGAAAACCAAAGGGCTTTTTAATTTTTTTGTGCTGACGAGATATCTTCTGAAAAACTCTTTTATTTTAAAAATGTTAGAGGGTTCTGATATCCAATTTTGGAGTAGAACTGAAGTGTATTTGAGTTTTGATCAATTAAGGAACATTTTCGTCATTTTTTTTAATTACTATCTTCAGTACTACCATCCCTAAAATACTATTTTTCCATAACAGTCTGTTATAAAAAATTATCATACGTGACTGTTCAAAAAATAAGGTGAATTTTAGGGTCCAACAACAATCTTTTGTGATTTGAGTTAGTCATTACGACTGCGTTAATTATCAGAAGTTTTTATTGAAATTGAAATGATTTGGACAGGCTACCATATATAATGAAATCTGTGGAATATATTCTGAACCTTGAAACATAGGTATCGCTGTACTAAAAGGGTCTATTCCGAGCCTAATTCAATTCATTTTGTCTATGAAAAACATACATTATTTTGTAACTTTAATTCGATGTACTCGTACCACTTATTGTAATATTATTATTATTCAAATAATCGTGTCCTGAAATGAAAATTAATTTGATAATAGCTTGAACGATAATTGAAATTTCAATGATATAAAATCAATGAAAAAGCGAAATGAAAATACAATACAATGAATGGAATACAAGAAAGACATTTCAAACCAAATGACTTCCAAGACGTTTCGATTTTCAATATTCACAACCGTCTTCATATAACTTTTTTTTCATTTCCATCCCATTGTATTTTTATATCACATTTTGATTTTTTCAATAAATTGATGTATGTAGCCGTTACTACGTGGTAGGATATCATAATGAAATAAGAAATGAAAATTTCTATGTTTTTTACCACTTTTATTTGTAACTTACGTTACTGCAGTTTCGTCCTATATGGACATTCTCAAACTTATACAATAAAGTTTATTGTATTAGTTTGAGAATGTCCATATAAGGCGAAATTGCAGTAACGTTAGTTACTGCAGTTTCGTGGTAAAAAACATAAACATTTTCATTTCTCTTTTCATTTTGATTGTTTGTTTTCAACCTCTGAGAAGAGTCCACTAAACCACCTGATTTGATGAATAAAAAAACATATGTTTGCAACAATATCACCACAGTAACATTTCAAGATATGAAAAAAAAAATGTTAACGGACCTCATTATTGACTGAGAGTGAAAAATATACATATTTAATATTCATTGGGATGAACTGGAGTGGGTTTCGAATAATTTCTCCTCAAAATCATTTTTTCTGCAAATTTCTGCAAATTCTTGAAACGAATATAAAACTGGTCATTATTTGGAATCGGATAACTCGATTTCCACTCTTTTCTATATATAAAAAGGTTGTAGTACTGCATGTGATGTTTTCTACTGTTTCTTTGTCGACCCCATCGATGGCGACTCTGTAGATGGTATCAATCGAAATTTTTCCCCTTGAATATGAATACATTCTTGTCATTCGGCATTTTCGGACGCAAGTAGTTCCCAAATGTGCCCATTCATTATTTTCAGACAGATGATGGAAATAAAAATTTACGGTTTCACGCTATAACTACTCAACAGATCATCATGAAATTTTGTACACATGTTCCTGTTGGTATTAGAAGTAACATAGGATACTCTTTATTAAATTGTTTGTCAATGAAATATCAAAATCTAGCTACTTAAACGTCATGTAGCATTCCATTAATTAAGTTCCAACCCTTAGCCCATTAGTGCATAAGGTTATACATTTTTGAAAACGCTAGTTTTTTAAGTGGAAATCGTATGTTGGGAGGAAACCAAACAACTTTTGTACACAAATTTTTTCAAAAATTTTTCTATTTGAAAAAATACAGAGTGTTCGATTTATCGAACGTCATGCTCACATATCAATATAGGTAAATGAATGTAACAAAAATTATATCCATCTCCATGGAGTATGATACTTCAGGAAACACTCTTTTGGGTGGAGAACTCTATCGCATTTCATGTATATGAATTTTGCGTTTTTTCCACAGTCAGCACATCTTCTTTTCTTTTCGATATACTGTGGCAGATGGTTGATTTTATCAAACCTGACATTGGCAAGTGGTTCTGGAGTGATTTGCCTTCTTTTTGATGCTTTGCCGTGAGTCTTCAAGAGATTCAGAGCCAAATCTCTCCTGAATTTCAGCAGAGCAGACGACAATTCATTGGAGGGGTGAATTTTACGGAATAGCAGTCAGGCATTGACAACCGATACCTACATCAAATGAGTACGAAAATATTGGCCACCACCATTTTCGCTGCCTCATTCTTGTTCTATAATTCGCTACTTACCCATCCAATTTATCCACTCCTCCCATACTTTTATTATAATTATCGAATATTTGGGTTCGAGGCCGTAGTAACAACTTCCATTGAAAGACAATTATTTTCTCACTACTTGAAAAGGAATATTCACCTCGTTTTTCTTTACACATTTCTTTTTGTTGCTTTCTGAGTAGGCAATGGGAAAACTTTGCTATATACTTCTTCTGGTGTTTTTTTTTTGTTGCACTTTTGTTCTATGTTGAAAATGTGTACTTTATTGGTCCAAACTACTTTTTTCTTCTTTGAAGTGGAAGGTGGGTTATCCTCCGTTGGTCTATCTCCTTCAACATTCGGAAATAACTTTGCCAAAGGTATATCATCATCTTAATCATAATCTGCATCATTACAATCTCTAAGATTGGAGGGTCTAGGCGGAACAAACTGACTTTCCACCTGCAGCATAGCTGGTCCCAGGTGAGAAATATATCCTTCATGATCATCATCCGATAGATCACCATCAATATCAGTATCTTCGCCGTCTTGAGGTGGTGTAATGTTTATATCGCCAGTCTCTGTCTCGCTATGTTCATAATGTTCGATAAATCGAACTTGAAATGTAAAGACTGATTTCAAGAAAAATAAAGATAGACGGGAGTTATCTGTGATACTAGTTGATGGTATGTGAGTTCATGTGAAGGGATTTACATTACCCTTCACATATTTGTCATAAATAATATGGATATTGTATAATAACTTATCCGCCGCAGCGAGTTGAGTACAATTCTGTATCCATCGCTAAACAAACAACCAAAACTAACACGTTTACACTTCTCACCACTCATATGACTGAACCACCTGTTAATCCTGTATGTGTTAAAAACTTTTTCGCGGGAAATAATTGAAAATATGCGCAGACACTCTCTTCGCCGACTTGAATAGGCATGTTCGATAAAACGAACAATATGCACTAATGGGTTAGTACTGTACTGTACTGTACTGTTTTATTCACAGTCACGATAATATCCAATCCAATCCAATTTTTATTTTCTTCTGTCATTTTCATTTTTAGGTTAGGTGTCATTTTTGTGGTTAGATGCCACTTAATTATTTTAACATTTGTTGTTACAATTCAATAAAACATATTTTAAATTTTCGAAACTTTATCGTTTGTAACAATTTTTAAAAATTGATAATCCCAGCCAAGTATTGAAATATAGTTATCATATTAATTCATTTCTATTGTACTGACACATTTAATGGCATAAATGCGAGCGAAGCCGCGGATAAAAGCTAGTTTTCCATATTTTTATTTCGATATTTCCTTCGTTAACATTTTTGCAGCTCTGATGAAATTGGTCCGGCCCATCAAAGTTTCTAGGGAAAGCAGAGTCCGGACAGTTTGTTTACCCTTGAAGAGACTGCTCCACAACCAGACTGACTTCTGTGTTGCTACAGGGTGGGGCAGAGCATCGGAGGACAGCATGCTAGCTGGAAGGTTGGTTATTCTTTCATTTGTGTACAATAATATTGCCTTCGAATGTATTAGTGGCATATGAGACTATTTTTGAACTAAAGACGGATTGAACTTATGATTTGAGAAACGCAAATATAATATTCGGTTTTTTAATTCAATCAGATGAACATGATTTGAATATCTTCAGAGATTTTTTTTTTAATAAAATTGAATCAAAGAATCCTTCCTCTAGCAGGATGCCACCAACGTATACCTAGCGTATAGTGTATTCTACATATAACTGATAAATTGAAGAATTTCATCAGTTCAGACTTTCATTGTCTAATATTATACAGGTTGTTCCTTGAACACTTGCTAATATTTAAGGAGGTAATTCTTAGACCCATTTTAAGAAAAAAACTTCCTATGGATGTATGTCCTAAACGCCTTAACTTTTGAGATACAGGGTGGCAAAGTTTTCAAAAATAATCAGTTTTTTAATAATAACTGAGATAATTTTGTAGACATCTTTGACATATTTG